ATGAATGTTTTGGAAGGATTTCGACATGCGCGCACGGCTGACGCGCGGGAGTGGCCCGCATGGAATTATTTGAAAGGGATCGTGCCCATCCCAGCAGGCGCGCAAAGGCGTTCGAATCATTTCAACATACGTGCGCGGAAATGAACATGTTGAAGCACATGCGGTCTTCGCACGAATTTATCATAGTGCGCGCGCGCATTTTTTTGAACCGTCACAAGTCATCATGCTACGCATTTGTTACAACATGTTTTCGGGAACCTCGATCTTGGAATCTTCACGAAACCTGATGTTTTGACGGATTTTGGCATGCGCCCTCGACGCCGCGCGCATGTGGACGTTGTGTATCTATTTCCAATGGATTCTTGCAGACGGATGATTTGTGATTTATCCCAGTGCGACCCTACTAGGAAAGCAGCATTAGTAGTAACAGTAACGCTAAGCTAAAGCTAAGCTAAAGCTAAGCTAAAGCTAAGCTAAAGCTAATCTAAAGCTAAGCCACAGCTAAGCTAAAGTTAAGCTAAAGCTAAGCTAAAGCTAAGCTAACGCTAAGCTAAAGCTAAGCTAAAGCTGAGCAACAGCTAAGCTAAAGCTAAGCTACAGCTAAGCTAAAGCTAAGCTACAGCTAAGCTCAAGCTAAGCTAAAGCTAAGCTAAACGCTTAGCGAAAAGCTAAGCGAAACGCTAAGCTAAAGCTAAGTTACAGCTAAGCTAAAGCTAAGCTAAAGCTAAGCTAAACGCTAAAGCTAAAGCTAAAGCTAAAGCTCCCAGGGGACTGGGGGGAACCGCTCCCAGGGGACTGGGGGAACCGCCCGGGGCGCTTTGCACTGCCCGGCCCCTTTAAGCTAAGAGAGTAAGAACCCTTCTAGGCAGAGCCTAGGTAGGGAAAAACGGATGTAAGCGCATAGTAACCTTGGTCAGGGATGAGTGGAGCCACCGATAAAAGAAAAAAGGTCTTGCGGGGATTCTATGGGACTTCGTGTTGCAGATCAGCAATGGGGCAACATCAAACTGTAAATTGTGCGGTCCCAGTGCCAGTGGGAACCGGAAGTCGGGGTGGGGGGGTGGGGGGTGGGGGGTGGTAGACCCGATCAGTTTTTAGAAAGTAGGATGTATATGTGGAGCAAAATAGGTGGTGTAAACCATGTGGCGCGATCTATGTCGTGCAACAAATTTGGTGCAATCAGAATGATGCAATCATTATTGCATGTAAGTTGCAACGCCAAGGGAACGCAAGCAAATCAATCCCAAATCATGCAACTCAATGCGATGCGAAGCCAGGCAAAACGGGCGGCGACGAGGTGGCGGGCTGCGACAAGACCAGATCGGCCCGCAGGCCCAGGCGACGGGCGGCGACGAGGCGGTGACGGCGACCACATAGCCGCCAGACTGGCGCCCAGGCCCAGCACAGGCGCCTGGGCGGCGGCGAAGCGGCGACGGGGCGGCGACGGCGACCACATGCCAGACCGGCGCCAAGGCAGAGTTCCTTAGAAAAGGGCTAAGCATTCCTACGTGCAAGCTCTGTTCAAGGGAAGATGTATGTGATCACCTGTAAAAACATTCGTATGGACCGCACCGAATGAATACGTAATTATATGCATGCCGTGCTGCGCTCCCTTCCGTTTCACCCGATCGCCAGAGAGTGATGACAGTCAGCATGCTGAGCTGACTACGAAGTTGGTCCCTGCCCATGGGCTGGCAAACGCCGGAGGGCCTCCGGAGGGCCCCAGGACTGGCGGGGCTGACCCGCCAATTGCCCAGCCCTGGTGGACCACGCTTCTTGACTTGCGCCGTCTTGACAGCCTCGCCCCAAGCTGCGACGCAAGTCGCACGCCCACAGCCTAGGGTGGGGAACGGGCGGGCGAACCGTAACTGCAACGAATGGCAGCGATTTTTACAGAATCGCTCCCGCTCGTGCTGCATAATGACGTGGGTGGCCCGTGCTGTGCTGCGCTCCCTTCTGTCTCATCCGGTCGCCAGAGAATGATGACAGCCAGCATGCCGAGCTAACTACGAAACTGGTCCCTGCCCATGGGCTTGCAAACGCCGGAAGGCCTCTAGAGGGCCCCAAGACTGGCGGGGCTGACCCGCCACATGCCCAGCCCTGGTGGGCCGCGTTTTTTTTCGCGCGCCCCCACCTGGCAGCCGTCGGTCTGCCGCCCTCATAAGTCGTAGCTGTTCTTGTGACAGTTGAACGTCTGCTAGGGTTGCGACGCTTCCCTGGATGTACGGGCTGGCGCTTCGAATGGAAGACCATCGTCCCCTGATTAACGTTTTGTCCATCTGGCCATGAGGTCTGAAGTCGTAAGTCTCTCCGCCGCGTCGTAAAGAATATGGGCTGTACTCGCCTCCGTCTAAGTCCAAGACTTGGAATGCTTGAGCAAAGCCGCGATGGAACGTAGGCGTAGTGACGTCTTGGAGGAGGCGGTCTTCAGGAAGTGGCCCTTCGCGCAGCTCCCGGGAGCAATTCAAGACCCCCGGGCAGTCGATGGAGACACACTCTGAGATGCCCGTGCGCCTGGGCGTCTTGGTCTCCTTTCAGCACGATGACCTGACCTCATGTCCCTTGTGGTCGTCGCAAATCAGCTGCTGCCGCGTGGACCCCGCGCCTTCCCCTGTGCGGAGGCAACAGTGGCACCTACTTGCAATGAACATTGCTATCCAGCGCTGGCCCACCTCTATTAATGTGCCCGCAACGGCGCGCATCATTTTCGGAGACAACGGCCGCGCCGTCGATGGTAACTCCTTCTAACCACAAACTCTCGCACATCTTCTGGAACCATGCAGCAAAAGACTCCGGATTATGTGCTTGTGCCGGACAGCGGCGCAAGAGTCAGCTGCATCTGCCCTGGGGTCACCTTCCTTCCTTGAACTGTTGATTTATCCACAAAGAGCATCGTCCAACGCTTTGTTTGAATAAGATTGCATCTTGTGTGCCGTGGCGAGTTCTAGGGGATCAGAATGTTGCGTCTCGTGCCTCTTTAGCGTGGCTGGCGTGGCGACCTGCTGCGTTAGGTCTCCATGCCGAGCTGGCTCTCGTCGCCGATCGGCCTTCTTTGTGCGATTACTCATGGTTCCAATGGAAGGCTCGCGAGGCGAAGTCTGCGGGATTGTCTTCGCTCGCGACATGCCCGCACAGGCCGCGAAAATTGCAGGGGGCGAGGGGTGCCGACATCTTGCGCAACGCTCTGTGAAGGAAGCTCGCGCAGCTCCTCCCCTTGGTCACCGTCGCCAGCGACACTTGGCTGTCCAGTAGGTGAACAACGCGGTGGAAGCTGCAACGACGTGCGCGCCATCGTAAATTTACCCATGCCCCTCGGAGATCAAGTACTTCTGGGACACGACGGTGTTCCGTGCCTATCTCTGCGGATTTAGGGGCACGCGCGGCCGCGGACTGCGTCGGTGAAGAGCTCCGACGTCTAGGTGCGCGTCGCCCCCTGCGAGCATGCTTTGCCGCGGCCCCTGGCCGCGCCCAGCTGGAAGGAACCCGGGGGATCTCCTCCTCGACGTCCTCCTCGAAGTAATAGTCTGGGGGCCCCTCCCGCTGAGCCTGCTGCTCCGTTGGAGCGGCGCCTTGCTTCGAAATGGTTCCCATCAAATGATTGCTCGGTGATGTCCGCGCTCGGATGGGCGTCTGGGGTCGCGTCGCTCTTCCCCGGACGATTGCTTCTGCAAGCCTCCACCGCCCCACCCGCGCCAGGGAAGTCGCGCGCGCCGATGGTCTCGGAGAGCCCGAGCCCCGGCGTGACCCCCGGCAAGTCCGCTGTCAGGAAAGCGCGTCGCCGCCTCTTTCCCTGCCACCCTGGCCGAGTCTGGGCGCCTGCACTGCGTGGGCGGCCCTCGGCGGTGCCCCGCGCGATTGTCGCCCGCAAACCGGCGCGCCCCGCGCGCCGCTCTCGCCCTGGCACCTCGACCTGCTGCGCTGCCGCGGGGGCCTCGTCCATGACAAAATGTTTTGGACCGCCAATGGCGTCGGTGTGGCCGCCCTTGAAATAGCGCGGGCGACCAGGCTTTGCCCGGGCGGTCCTTCGGCGCCGCGCGCGTGAGATCTCGCCGCTACCAGTCCGGGTCGGCTGGCGCTGCTACGCCCGCGCGCGGGCCCGCTCGACCCGGGAGGCCATGGCGCCCTCGGGCGACGGCGACCAGCCCCGCGACCTCCTGGCGGCGAGGTCCTCCATCTTCGCCGCGAGCTCCGCCATGTCGTCGCCTCTGGGCGTCTCCGTGGCGCGCCCCGTCAGCCAAGCAACAGACCAACGTGGTGTGCGACGTAGCGTGGCCTCCAGCTTCTGCGCGCCCTCTGCAGTCGGCGCGCGTATTTCGATGGCGCCGGGGAAGTGGCGACGCGCGCGGCGAAGCTCCGCCCGGGGCGTTCCGAGCGAGAAATGGGTGACCACCGCCCCTGGCTCCGCCGCCTGGCCCGCTGCCCCCAGCTCGCCGCCTGGGCAGACGACCGCGATGCCGAAGCCCCCGCGGGCGCCCCGCCGACAATGCAAAAACCGCGAGCCTGCCTTGCCGCGGCTGCGCCAGTGGCTGCAGCTCCTTTGCAGCAGACCGCTCCGACGCCATAAGGCCTAGCGTCGGGCGCTGTGGCCTGAGTCTCAAGGCGAGCCCGCAGACCCGTGAAGCGCGGCGCCACGAGGCTGATCTTGCCCGGCATCTCGTCGCCGAAGGCTCCAGACAGCGGGGGGGCACCCCGGGAGCGCGCAATCCATGTCCAGAATGACGAACGCCCAGGGAATAACGGACTGCGCGTGTCCAGGGCATGCGCTTCTTTTCCAGCGGCGATCTGAGACCACCGTCGTCGCGCGCTCGTCGAGGAGACCATGTGCAAGAACAAGGGCGCGTTCATTGGCAAGCGGTCTGTGCGGTTTCCTAGCCGGCCAACGTCTCCATGTAGATGTCGCCCATGGCGGTCCGCCTGAAGAGGTCGGCACTCTGCCTTGTTCTCGGCGCGCGGCCAGGCGGCCGCCTCATAGGCGGCGCGGGCCGCCTGCTAATGCCGACGGGTCCGCGTGCCGCAGAGCGATCTCGAACGCGCTGAAATCGTCGACGTGCGTGTGCCGGGCGCCGTGGCGACCCTTCATGACAGACGCCGGGCTTGTGCGGCACTTGTTGAATTCCGCATCGGCGCGCAGACGTGCGCTGGCAAGCGGCGTTGCGCCAACGCTCGACAACCACCCCATCGGTAGGCATTTTAAGGTCATGCGCGCCCTGCCCTGGGCTCCTGGGATGATCGCGCAACTGTCGACCTGGCGTCCAGGGGCGAAGAATGGCTTCCAGCAGGCCCGGAGCAGGCAAAGGTAGAAAGAGCATGCCAAGTCGTCACCCGAGATGTGGGGGACTTTCTCGTCCTCGAAGACCAGCGTCTGCCGAGCGGCGCCCGTGCTCATCTGGGCAATGTCGCTGTTGATCGGTCGCTGGCGCTGGTTCATGGGGGCAAGGTTGATAATGGGTCTGAGCACGGGGTGCCCTGACTTCGACGTCCTGGCAGGCTCGGTATCTCCACGACGCCCGGCTAGAACGAGCTTGCCCCGAATGCAATGCGCGCGCTCGGCGTCGATGGGCTCGATGAGGCTCCGGACGTATAGATCCTTCGTATTCGCGCCCCGCTCGCGCGAACCCTCGGCCGCGCGAGCTCTGGGACCTCCTTCTCCAGGATTGGCGGGACAGATCGACGGGTCGCGGAGACGGGCCAGCGCATCCTCTTTACACCGCCTCTCAATCTCTATGCTCGCGCCCTTGCCGGTAGGCGGCAATCCTGGGATGACCTGCTCGAGCGCCAAGTCGCAAGAGACGTCGAAGACGTCTCCATCATGATTTGTTTTTTTTGGTTTAAAACCAAACAGCGAAGACTGACAGGTTTCTAATAAGCTCAAAAGAGAGCATCGTGACGCCCCAGGGGGGTCTGGGCAGATGCCGGACGTGTGCCGGGGAGAATCCGCGGAAGTCGTTTTAAGCAAACAGTTGCACACTTCGTGGTCTTCGAGGTCCCAGAATTCCACTCCCGGGCCACATTCTGAATGCCCGGAGCCAACTGTAGGCCACTTCGTGCTCTTCGAGGTCCCAGAACTCCATTCCCGGGCCACATTTTGAATGCCTGGAGCCAACTGTAGGCCACTTCGTGGTCTTTGTGTTCCCAGAACTCTACTCCCGGGACACATTTTGAATGCCCGGAACCAACTGTAGGCCACTTCGTGGTCTTCGAGTTCCCAGAACTCCATTCCTGGGCATGATTTTGCATGCCCGGAGCCAACTGTAAGCCACTTCGTGTTCTTCGAATTCCCAGAACTCTATTCCCGGGCCACATTTTGAATGCTGAGGCAGGCGGATGCTGAGGCTGAGGCAGGCTGAGGGTGAGGCAGCCTGAGGCTGAGGCCGAGGCTGAAGGCTGACTGAGGCTGAGGCTGAAGCAGGCTGAGGCTGAGGCTGAGGCAGGCTGAGGCTGAGGCAGGCTGAGGCTGAGGCTGAGGCAGGCTGAGGCTGAGGCTGTGACTGCGACTGCCGTTGCCACTGTGATTGTCATCGCGAATGCGACTACGACTGCGAGAACAGCAGAATTCTACAACTGGATTCTCATCTGAATCTTAAGGGGAATGCTTCCAGATATGCTCCTATACATCGCTGTTAGGTTGCTTTGCCGGGATATTTTTTTCAGGTATTCGAGCGGCCCGCCCAGCAGCCCTCCGGCGACCGTGGGGCGCCCCCCGCTGCCGCCCGGCGCTGAACGAAGCAGGCGCTGGCGTTTTCGACGTGCTCCATCGCCCGCTGCTGCGAGGTCCGCGGCCGGCCCTGCCGCCTCGACCGCGATCTTCTCACTGGGGACTCATGGGCCCCTTTCCTCGACCTTTCCCCTTGCCAGACTTTCTACCCAGGGGTTCCTCCGCCGCTGAACTGCCGAATTTGCCTCCGTGTAGCTCCTGCCTCCACGGGTGCTGCCACCTCCTCGGCTCCTCCGCCTTCCTCATGGATTTCTTCTCCTCCTTTGCTCGTGCCTTCTGATGCTCGCCGTCCTTCGCGCGCTGGGCAGCCGGCGCCTTCCGCTCCTGGGCGTGCTTCTTGTTCGGGCCGCGCCACGCGCGGGCTGTCCGCGCCTGTGCGCGGGCAGACCGGCTGATAAGCTCTGGCTTCACGTTGGCGGGCCTCGGCGGCGTCGGAAGTCTCCGTGGCTCCGGGGTGGAATGCCTCGCCGGTCTCAGGGGCGAGCTTGGAAGGTTTCCCCGAAGGGCTCAGGCGACCCCTCCTCCTCCTCCTCCTCCTCCTCCTCCTCCTCCTCCTCCTCCTCCTCCTCCTCCTCCCCCTCCTCCTCCTCCTCCTCCTCCTCCTCCTCCTCCTCCTCCTCCTCCTACTCCTCCTCCTCCTCCTCCTCCTCCTCCTCCTCCTCCTCCTCCTCCTCCTCCCTCCTCCTCCTCCCCTCCTCCCTCCTCCTCCTCCCCTCCTCCTCCTCCTCCTCCCTCCTCCTCCCTCCTCCTCCTCCCCTCCTCCTCCTCCTCCTCCTCCTCCTCCTCCTCCTCTCCTCCTCCTCCTCCTCCTCCTCCTCCTCCTCCCTCCTCCTCCTCCTCCTCCTCCTCCTCCTCCTCCTCCTCCTCCTCCTCCTCCTCCTCCTACTCCTCCCCTTTTAACCTTCATCACGCGAGTTGGAATCAGGGTCGCGAGACGTGGGCGCTCGAGACGGCTCCTCCGCAGCATCCTGCAACCGCCGCCGAATGTCCATTCCCCTCCATCCCCTGTGTTTTCCAACGGACTGTGCTAACTCATCCAGAACGTACACTGCACCATCGCACACTGCATGCCAGTCTTCTCCGAGGCTATGTCCCACGGACCACCTCACCATGAAAATCATAATTTTCCTTATCCTTTTTTTTCCCTCCTCCTCCTTATCATCCTCCTCCTCCTCCTCCTCCTCCTCCTCCTCTTCCTCCTCCTCTATCTCCTCCTCTTCCTCCCTCCTCCTCCTCCCTCCTCCCTGCTCCTCCTCCTCCTCCTCCTCCTCCTCCTCGGGTCGCCTACGGCCCTGGGGGAAACCGTTCAGGCGAACTCCCGTGGACGGCGCGCCCCTGGCCAGCTTCCTGGCCGGTGCCTGGGCTCCTCCAACCAGTCCCTTGGAGGCGCCGGCGCTGCGCCTCTGGCTTCGAAGCCAGCTCGAGCAGTGCTGGGGGCACGCTGGTGGCATCCGTGGGCTCGACGACCTCCAGGTGTTGCGCGCGACGTCGATCTCCCTCGATAAGGCTCGTCTCGATTGCCTGGAAGCGGCCGATGGCCATATCCGCCGCCACCTCCACGCTCCCGGTGCGAAGGGCATCCAGCATTGCTGTTGATGTCCCCAGCTCGCGTTTGCTCCCCTTCGGAATCTTGGCGGAGCCGTGGCGGTCGAAGACGTTCTGGCTGAGGTGCCCCAACACCGAAACCCCGCCCCGGCAGGTGGCGGCGGCTCCAGAACGACCGGAGAGGAAGCGGCCCATCTGCTCCAAGCCCTGCGTGAACGAAGCTCCTCAATGCCTGGCCGCCACCTCCCTCGCCGTCGGGGCCCTCGCCCCGAAGCCTCTGCGAAGACTCGAAGACGAACGAGACCCACTCGAAGTCCTAGACCTGGTCCGCCTCCTCTTCCGGTGCCCGGATTTCGACCGTCTGCGATCTCGGCTGCGAGCGCGCTTCTTTGGTGCCTCCTTCTCCTGCCGCTACTGCACCTTTGCGGCGAGTTTCTCTCCTACGCTCTCCCTCCTCATCAACTGCTTGCCTCTGCCGTCCTCTTCGTCTGCCTCGTGATCCCTACCTCGCTTCTTGCGTGGGTCGTCCACGACCGCCAAGCCGCAGACGCAGCCGCCGCATCAGGTTCCTCTTGCACTGGATCCTTACTCCTCCTCCTCACCTTGGAGCGTCCTCTTTTCTCCTCGCCCTCCTGCTCCTCCTCCTCCTCCTCCTCCTCCTCCTCCTCCTCCTTGGAGCATCCTTTCTTCCGCGGAGGCGCGGCGTCACCTCCAGCTCCTCTGCTCGGATGGCCTCCTTGGCCTCTCCTGCCTCCGCCTCCTGCTCCTGCTGAACCCTTCGTCGCTGCCATCGTCGAATAGAAGGCAACAAATCCACCCCAATAGTAACCACCCCGACACGCGAGGGTGTTTACTAAACGCCCCTGAAGGAGCCGAACAGGGCAGGGCTGTCTAGTAAACGCCCAAGGCCGTTTAGTAAACGCCAATTGTCCGGTCAGGGTGGTTTCCTCCCTCGATCGAGAGAGGACGGAGCAAGGCCCGCTCCCGTCGCTCCCGTGCGAGCCAGCTCATTATGAATCCGGGGGCGCCCCCCCTTCGACCCGCGAGCCTCGGCTGCGCCGCGACTGCCCCCTGGCCGGCGCTCATCGTGCTTCTTCTGTGCTTCTGCGCTCGCCATGGCCTCCCGCACCGCAGCAAGCTCTTGGCAAGCGCGTACTATGGCTCAACCGCCAAAACCGACCGTGCAGCTCCTCCACGCTGAGGAGCCGGTAAGCCTTCAGGTGGACGATCGCCTTCCCCTTGAGGCCCTCGCAGGTCTTAGCCTTCTCGCACTTGGTGCCGCCAGCCTGGCACAGGTGGTGCACCGCCTTCGACGAGGGGACGAGGTGGCGCCGGGTCCAGTGCTCGTAGTACTCGTCCGACGCCGCGACGTGCTCGCACTCGATGCCCCCCGAAACGGGCCACGGTGTTCATGTTGGCGCAGACGCGCGCGATGGCGTAGCCCTGCTTCTCCTGCCTGTTGTCGACCGCCTGGTAGAGCAACAGCTGGCCCTCTACGATCGTGTCATCCATGAAGTCCTGCAGGGCCCGCTTGTCCCCCGAATCCTTCCTGAGCTGATCAGACCACTCGCTCTTGGGCACGCGGCTACGCGTCCCTTCGCTGATGAGCTCGGTGACCATTTCTCGTCCAGACCCCGCTGCAGGGCATCCTCGACGAGCCCGCTCAGCTCCGCGTTCAAGGCGTCCTGCTTCTCCTTCGCCATCCTCGGCAGCCTCGCCGAATGCTCGACACAAACCCGATGCGCCCCCGACCGTCGGGGAGCTGCCGAAGTCCGGCACCCCGAAGATGAGAGCGCCAAAGGCGCTACGGCAGCTGCGGCTCGCCTGGCCGCCGCATTGAGGCTGCGCCCCGCTGCGCGCGCGCGGGCTCGCGAGCCCCGCCTCGCCTCCACGCGATCCGCGACGAGCCTCCCCGCGCCAGGTTTTTTTGACCTCAACGCGCCATCGAAGGCCTCAAAGCGAGGATCAGGCGCCCGCCTGCTAGGATGAGGAGCAAAAGGCCTCAGGAGAAGACTGCGGCCAGGCTCGAGTCGCGACGCGCGCGGGCACGGGAGGGGGCGCCCTGTGAGCCGGGCTGTGGCCGGGGCTCGGGCCGCAGCTGCAGTGGCGGCGATCGCTTCCGAATCACTTCCGCTCGCGCCGCACAGTAGCATGAATGGCCCATGGGTGCGTTGCGTCGTGCTTCGCGTGTGTGTCGTAGAACCAGCCAAGAATACACCTCGTGGGTCCCACGCGCGCGCACCTTCGCCACCGTGCCGGAAGCATTGAGTGGAGCGTCCTCAGGTCCCTTCGAGCTCTGCCCTGGGAACTCCCCATGTTCTTCAAAAGGGCTCAGGTCCAGGAGCTCTGGGCGCTGC